CTACAACACCCAAGAACATTCTTCTCAAGGGTAAACAGACTATTTACAAAGAAAGAGCATATTGTAGGCATGAAACAAGTCTCAGTGCATTTTAAATGATTCACATCATGCAATGTACGTTCTATGTTTATGATTAAAGTAGAAAAAAAACCAGAAATATGTGTGAAAATTGCCCAAATGTTTAGAAACTAATAATAAAAGGTAAATTGCTAAGTACAGCAAAGATCATTATGAAGAAACTATAACTTACATCATACTCAATGGTGAATGATAATTCACTGAGGTCAGGAACAAGAAGAAGAATTCCATTCTAACCACCATTAAACATTATATTGGGCCATGGAGATAGCTCAGCAGTCTAAGCACCATCTTAGTGAAGCACGAGGGCCTGGGTTTGATCCCCAGTACCACATACCATGCCAGCCCTGCCCCAGGTGCACCCAGCCACCAAGACCAGGCAGGGTGGTGCACACCTGCAATCCCAGAGCTGGGGAGGCTGAAACAAGGATCACTATGAGTTGGAGCTGCATCATGAAACCCCATACCAAATACATTTTTAAAAAACCACTTTATTGATTGATATAGCCAAAGGAGTAAAGCAAGAAAAAAAATAAAGTGCATACCACATAATAAACGTGCTTCTGAAGCTACAACTTAGTCATCTGTAGATGGACCAGAAAACTATTAGAGATAATATGTAACTTTAGCAGGAATACAGGATATAAAATCATTATAAAATCAATTCCACTGATCAGGAACTTGTAATTAGAATTTTAAATAGCATTTATAATTGTATGAAAATTATACACTTTAAAGGATGTATAATGACTGCACATTAAAAATGACAAAGCATCACTGAAAGAAAATAGCTAAATAAATGAGATGTGTCATGGTCATGGGCTAAAATAGTAAATTTGATTAAGTTATCAGCTTGCCACAAATTGTTATACAGACTCAAATTCAATTGCAGTCAATCATGCAAGCAAGCATGAAACTGGACAGCCAGTTCTCCAGTTCATTTACAAAGTGCAAAGATGTAGAAGAACCACATTAACTTTGAAAAAAAAGTATATGCCTAATATTATCTAATATGGAAATTTATTATACAGCTACAATCATCAAGACAGTGGTACTTCTGGAGTCCAGATAGACAAATGAATGAGAGTCCAGAAAACATGTACATACAGAGAAACGGATTTTTTTTTTTTTTTTTTTTTTGTGGAACCAGGGATTGAACTCAGGCCCTTGTGCTTGCCAGGCAGACAAATGGATTTTTGAGAAGACATAAAGCAATTCATTGGAGAAATAAGCCTTTTCAACAAGTAGTGCTTAAACAACTGGGTATCTGTGCTTTAAGAAAAAAAAAAAAAAGGACTTTTAATTTACACTCCACATCATGTATAATATTTACCTTGCCATGGATCATAGAAGTGGAAATCTAAAAGCACAAAACTTCTAGAAGAAGACAATTCTAGCCTTGTGTTAGGCAAAGAATTCTTAAACCTGATATCATAAGCATAATCTCTGAGAGAACACACTGACAGTCATTTAATATAAACTTTTGGTCCTTTATAAACACTATAAAGAATAAAGAATCAACAATAGTGGGGAAAAATATTTTTCAAAGCTGATGTGTGATTTAAAAACTTTATTTTTTTCCAAAGTTTTATTGATAAACAGATAGCAATGAGACAATTTCAAATCAAATCGAAGTACAGTTTCAACAAATAATACACTGCATATATTCTTCTTAGTGGTTAATTGCTGTACAAAAAACTTTAGAAGTATAAAGAACTCTTAAAACTCAGAAACAACCCAATTAAATTAAAATGAGAATGAAATACCCTTAAATATCAAATACACTGGCTAAATAAAATAAACAGACTCTGCAAATGTTGCAGACCCTGTGGAAACCCGCAGCTCTCACACACGCTTATGTGAAAGTAACACAGTGCATGACTTTGTTAGATACTTTAGCAGTTTCCTAAGAAATCACATATACATCTACTATGTGCACTTACACAAGGTCAAAAAATAAAAAGCACACATCCATACCAACAACTGCATGCACATGTTCACAGCAGCTCATTTCTGTATTAGAAAAATGCCAGAAGCCACCCAAATACCTAAATGTTGAATCTGTGTGTTTAAGGTGATGCTACAAAATCTCTAATTTGTTGAGTAAGTTAATCTGGAGATCTCAGAGATACTTGCTGATTTTCGCAGTTGCTTTGAAAACGAGTGCATTTTTCTTTTATTTTATGGGGGGAAAAAAACAAAATTTCCAAACAAATTAATAGGAAAATAACAATAGTTAATACACTGTGTATGGTTATCTTGGAAGTAGTTACTCAGAGTAGGATATGGGTATGTGTAAAACATTCTCCAAGTGATATTAGCACAATCCTTTCTTTTAAATGGATAAAGGGGAACGAGTAGTGTCACTAGATTGTATTTTTTTCTCTCTTTCTTCCTTTCCCCTCTGCACTACGCTAGTTCCTCTTTCCTTGAGCAATTTCTTTCTGTCTCACAATACCTAATGTACACTTTGGACTTTATTTACTCTTTCAGCTCCTCACACTGGGGAGATAATGCAGTGTTCACACATGCAAGTCTGATTTATTTCCCTCACGAGCATGGTCTTGAGTTGTACCCATTTACCTGTAAAGTCTAAAGTTTATCCTTCTTTACGGCTCAGTAGTACCACGTTACATTAAAAAAATACATTTTTTTTTATCCATTCTTCTGTTGATGGGCATCTGAGTTGTCTCCAAGATTTAACTATTATAAATTGTGCTGCTATAAACATGGATGAGCACGCATCATGGTAGTATGATGCTTTAAATTCTTCCAGGAATATACCTAGAAGGGGAATAGCTGGGTTAAATGCAAACTATAATCCTCCTGTTTTGTTTTTTTTTTAGGAATCTTCATTCTGATTTCCACAGTTGTTATACCACTCTGTACTCCCACCAACAGTGGAAAAGGGTTCCCTATTCCTAACAGACCCTCCAGCACTTGTTAGTGGTTAATTTCTTGATGATAGCCATTTTTTCAGAGAAGAAATGTAATCTCAGTATTGTTTAAATTTGCATCTCTAAAATGACCAATAATGTGGAACATTTTTTCATATATTTGCTTTCCATTTGTATTTCTTTATCTAAGAAATGCATATTCATCTCAGCTGCAGTTTTTGATTGATTGGGTCTTTGAATTTGAGGAATCTGATTTTTTCAACTCTTTATATGTCCTAGATATAAGTCCTTTGTCAAGGGACAGCTGGCTAAAATTATTCCTACTCTGTGGGTTGTCTTCACTCTGTTGGTTTCTTTTGTATAGCTTTTTCAGAAGATGAGATTACCATTTTTTAATGGTATTTCCTGTGTGGTCTTCGTTTTGTTCATGAAGTCTCTGCCTACAACTTACATCCTTGAGATTGCTAACTAGCTTCTCTTCCAGTAGATTTAGTGTTTCTGTTTTAATATTTAGATCTTTGCTTCATTTTGGCTGCAGTTTAGTGCATGGTGATAGACATGGGTCTAAGTTTTAGTCTTGTGCATGTGGAAAGCCAGGTTTTCCAGCACCATTTATTAAAGAGGCTGTCTTCCCATGAACATGTTTGGACCTTTTTCCAAAGATAAACACTGGCTAAGTGTGTTTGTCATTGTGTCCACATCTTCTAATCTGTTCCACTGATCTTCAGATCTGTATTTTTGTCAATATCATGCTGATTTTTATTACAGTAGTATAATTTCAAGTCAAGTCCATGATGTCCCAACTTGCTTTTGTTGGTCAGAATTGCCTTCACTATTCTAGGTTTCTTCTGCTTCCAAATGAATTTTAAGAATATTTTCTCTAGGTCTGTGAAGTATGCTAGTGGTATTTTTATTGGGACTGCATTAAATCTGCATAACAATTTTTGGAATATGGCCATTTTCATTATGTTGTTCTTCCTATCTAAAAGCAAGGGATATCTTTCCATTTTCTGACCCTCTTCAATCTCTTTATGGAGTACTGCAATATTTACTGTATAAATCTTTTATTACCTTTGTAAGATTGATTCCTAAGTATTTCATTATTTTGGATTGTATGGTGAACAGTGTGGTTTCCCTAATTTCTCTCTCAGTGAGTTTGTTGTTTATGTACAGGAATGCTATTGATTTTTGAATGCTGACTTTGTATCCAGCTACACTACTGAATACACTTATCAAATCTAGAAGTCTCTTGGTGGAGTTTTTGGGGTCTTCTAGGTACAGTATCATGTCATCTGCAAATAACTATAATTTACCTTCCTTTTCTATCATTATTTCTTTTTATTTATTTCTCTGACTTCTCTGGCTAATGTTTCCAGAACTATGTTGAATAAGAGCGGGGGGGGTGGGGCAGCAAGCTAGATCAGTGAACTAAACTCCTACTGAGGTAAGTTCAGGGATCAGGGTTCTATCCCCAGCCCCACATGCCCTGCTGGCACCCACCTCCAGGTGCACTAGGCTGGCCACCAAGACTGTGTATGGTGGCATAAACCTGTAATCCCAGTGATGGGGAGGCTGAAAACAGGAGGATCAATATAAGTCTGAGCTGCATAGTGAGACCCTGTAACAAATACATAAAAAAAAAAGAGTGGCGGTAGTGTACATCCTTGTCTTGTTCTTGGTTTTAGAGTGAAAGATTTCAGTTTTTGACTATTTACTATGATGTTATCTGTTTGTCATAGGTGGCTTTTATCAGATTAAAGACCATCTATTCAATTTTCTGTAAAATTTTTGTCATGAATGGGTGTTAGACTTTGTCAGATGCTTTTTCTGTGTCTGTTGAGAGGATCGTGTGATTTGTGTCTTTGGATGTATTATATTTATTGATTTTTGTATGTTGAACCATCCATGAATGAACCCCTGGAAGGAATCCTACTTGATTATGGTGTATAATCTTTTTGACAATTTGCTGCATTCTGTTTGCTAAATGCATTTTTCATATGCAAATTTTCCATCCTTTCTTTTCAGGCCGGGTTGCAGTATGCAGGAAATCTGGGACTTGGAAGATCCTTCCAACTCAGCCAGCCCCTCCCTCTGCAGCAGCCTGCTGCGGGATGAAAGGCCATACTTCACCACTGTGTTTCAGAATGCCGTGTACAGAGTGTTGAAGGTTAATCGAGAAGCAACCTATGTCAGGTTCTTCTGATGCAAAGGAGGTGGTGCAAAGAAAACATCAAGGACACATACTTAGCATTCACTAAAATCCCATGTTTTAATAGGACATACTTAAATTAATAAAACACTAAGTATGATTTAAAGTTTTTCTGATTACAACAGATTCACAGTTCTCCATTGAATGTCAGTCTTAGTAAGCTAGTCACTTGAGTTGCTTTACTAGTGCTCAGGAAAGATCTTTTATAATTTTTAATAACTTTTTAAAAATCATTTTGTATTCAAGTATCTTTTAGAGCAGCTTGTTTTATAATGTGTTCAGTCTCTAGAAATGTATTTACCCAACCAGTTAAGTATTTTTTCCTGGTTAGTTCACAGCCTAAGTTCAACAGGTATTAAGCTTTAGTATCCAGTGTATTTTTCTCTTAATATACAGATACAATGAAAATTGTTATACTATACAACCAGATTTGGTGGTTTAATATAATCAGAAAGAAACTTCCAGTTAGACTTATCAAATGAGATTATCAGATGCTAAATTTTGAATGAAGTAAAGGCCTTTTCCTCTTAGTGGCCCGTGGGCCTTAGCACACTTGTGGACACAGCCTTTGTGTCCAGCCACCATCTTTTGTAATACACATCTATAACTCTTTATTCATGTTTCTTTTTAGATGAGGTCATGATTTATAAACACTTTTGCCTAGTAAAACATACCTAACAATAATGCTTTAAAACATGGTAAGTAGTTGTCATGAAGAGGTAGTAGCCAAATACAAAGAGTAGCACTTACTTTTTTCTCTGCCTGGTAAATACTACCTATGCTGAATCTGTAATGTATTAATGTGCATCTAATCTGGGTTAATCATTTTCAGGTTTTTATATTTCCCTTATATTCTTGACTCTCTGTATTTGAGATAAGAAAATGCTTTAATTCCGTAGATCCCTCATAGTAACAGGAAATCATATACCAAAAAAAGTAGAATTATTTTTCAACCTCGTAGTTGTGAAATATTTTAATATAAGATGAAAAGATCTATGAAAATACCAAATTTTATTTATTTTAGCATTTTGAAATAATTTTTTTTGCTGTGAGTGTGGAGCAAAGAAAAAGAGACCACACCTAGCATCCATAAAATTAGAGAAATATTTTGGGTGATGTTTTCATAGGGAATATTTTAAGAAGTTGGCAGAATTCAACAACAAAAAAAAAAAAGGATGAGCTGTTTAACTAATAAACTGTTCCACACACATGTCATGGTGTTATATGAATTTGTTATTTTTCTATATTATATAGTTGCTCTTGAAGATCCTTTGTTTTCTCTTTTCAACTTTTACAAGCACACATTTTTAAATCAACCTCTGATAGGAAAGTAGAAATCATAGGTTGCTGGACTTGCTAATCAGGTCAACACTGGCCTTGACCTCTTAGCAGTTGAAGACAATTCTTCATAGTCTCTCCAGGAAGGCAATATGTGGTGTAAGTACTGTGATCTCTGCAATAAGATGTAGCTAAGTTCAAATCCTGGCTCTCCATATTAGTTGCGTGTCCTGCCATCCACTCAGGTGGTCCTTATTCACTGCTTACTGTACGCCCTGTGCTGCGCGAAGCTCGTAGGCATGGTGCTTACCTCCGTGAGCTTCAGTTTCCTCTCCTGTAAATCAGAACTCACACTACCTACCTGTCAGAGTCATTATACGGATTAGTGAAATACTGTGTCAGGTGCCTGGCACATATTAGTTCTGTCTACTCTTCTTCCTGACTCATTAAATAATCATTGCAATAATATCAAGTTACAATCAGATAATTTCAAGATTCTGAGTAGTCTAGCATTTATTTGGTGTCAATACTGCACTTCAGCATGTATATACAAATTAATCTATTAGTTTGTTGTCTGCATTTTTTGTTCTTTTGAAATATGAAGAGTATGCATGGGGTCAGGGAGATGGCTCAGTGGAATAAGCACTTCCCTGGCAAGCGCAAAGGCCTGAGTTCAATCCCCGGCTCCACAAAAAAAAGAAAGAAAGAAGAAAGAAGAAAGAAAGAAAGAAGTATGCCTGAACACATGGACTGCATGTGGCCCCTTCCCCCATGCAAGGAAATGTTCTGTCCTAGATCCCTGTGCTCATGTTCTTGCGCACATCTAAAAGCATGCCTGGGAGTGAGTGAGACACAGTGTGATGCCACCTGTCATCCCACTGCCAGGAGTCAACACCATCCTCAACAAGGAATCATTTCCAAATTTAATTGTGTTTAGAATTAGATGTTTATACTGCATGCTTTGTCTTTCTATTACACAATCAGTATAAACTTGTCATTGGAAGTTACAAAACATGAAAAATTTGAAAGAAGTGGAAACTATTCAGTAGACTCTATCAACATTTTATGACTTTCTTCCAATCTGTCTTTCAACTGGACATCATTTGCTTTTCTTTCTCTCTGGTGTATCTTCAAGCCTTTTTTATTTTTTATTTTGAAAGAAAGTCTTAGGGCCAGAGAGATAGCTGAATAGAATAAGTGCCTGTCTGGCAAGCACCAGGTCCTAAGCTCAATCCCCGATACAGAAAAGCAAGAAAGAAAGAAAAGAAAAGAAACAAGGTCTTGCTAAGTTGCTAAATTACATAGAAAACAGCTAAGACACCCCCACACACACACACATACACACATTCACAGACATGTACACACACTCATAGACACAACTGAGGGGTGATAACACCATAGCTGTGGCCTCCTACCGAAAGTGTCTTCTCAGATCCCTCAAAGGACCTGCCTGAGGCTCCTGTAGACACGTGTCACTCCTTGGAAACACCTCTGTGGGGTTTTCCACTTTTCTCCCCCTTGGAAGCAGATCATGCCCCATGAACAGTCCTTTCTCTGATGAAAGCCGTTGGTGCCAAAGTCCATGTTTTCATACCGTTTAGGGAACTCGCTGACGTTTCCAACAGCTTCTGCTACACCCTTCATTGTGAATTTTCTTCAGGGGTCTTTTTCTTCCCCAGTTTCCTTTTCTCTTTCCTCTTCTTTAGCTGTGCATTCCTAGTCCAGTCCAGCAACTCCTCATTAGTCAGCTCCTCAGGAGCCACTCCAGGAGCTCCTCATGGCATCCTCAGCCCCTTCCAGCTTCAGGTGTTTCTGTCATGGCCACAGCCTTGTGGATTTCTGCTCCTGCTTGGTGAATCACTTGAACTCTAATGTGAACCTCTGGAGTGTGTTCTTCCAGATGCCATTCACATGCTTCTCAGTGACATCACCCCAGACCCAAGCAAGGTTCTGCATGCAGTCATACACCCTGTAACCCTAGACTGCATGTGTTTCATTGTCCTCACTGGCTGCAGCCCTGGCCTGGGCAGGGGTCCTCCTCAGGTAGCAGACCTCAGAAGCTACGATAGTAGCATGATCCATCAGCTGGGTTAAAAAGAAAAGACGCAGCTTTGATATTGGGATAAAGATAGCCGATAAAAGGAGGGTGTGCCTGATCATTATCAACCATAAGAAGATCCAGAAAGGTATGTTATTCTCCAAGCAGCATCTCTGTTTTGCTGACTAAGCAGTTGCATGGTGGCCCCTGATCTCTTGCTGCTCCTGTAGGACCCTGGCAGTGTGTGCTTAGCGACAAACGTGCTAGCCCCAGAGTCCTCGTGATGCTGGATTACAAAGGGCCCAACAAGGCCATCACCCTGTCATCAAAAGCCCTGAAACCTGCATCTGACTTGGCCTCCTCGAGGACAAAAGCCCTTTCAGGCAGCCCTTTCTCGTATGGAAATGCTGATCCACAAGGAAGGTCAGCTCTGGCAAGGAAGCATCCTCCACACTCCGCTTATCTGTACCTTGTGAAAGCTCCTCAGCTGGCTTCACGGCAGCCTCAGTGAGTCTCCACCCACTTTCACATTATGTAATGAAAAATGGCGGGGGAGGAAGATGCTGGTGAAAAGGTGTCCTTTCTGTTCTACAGACAATGCTTTTCTTTCTAAGTAAAAGGAATACATCTAAAATAGCATAAAAAGCATAGCACAGTAAATACACAAAGCAGTTACAGCCACTCATTGTTATTATGGATCATCTGCTGTGCCTAATTATATGTGATCTCCTTCTAAGTGGCTGCCAGTGTCGATTTCTCAACACTAAAGCATCACTGCAAACATGCATGCTACCAAATCCCAGCAGCTCCGCTGTCAGCAGCTGGCAGGGATTTTCCTGCCCCATTAGAGGCCCCCGGGGCCACCAGAGAGTATGCAGTGCACTGCCGACTGGCACGCCACTACAGGCCAGCTGGTTTGTGTGTAAAACTGTAATGCTATTGAGATGTTTTTAATCTTAAAATTATTTCCATATTATATTCTTTATGGTTAAATTTCAATGAAAGATTGTGAATAACCTAAAAGCCTCTGGGGCAGTCAATCTTAAATTGCCTTTGCAGAAGAATTGAATTCACAAAGGCTTTGTGTGTGTGTGTGTGTGTGTGTGTGTGTGAGAGAGAGAGAGAGAGAGAGAGAAAGAGAGAGAGAGAGAGAGCTCATTTCACAGCACTTTTGTTGGCTAGCCTTAGTAAAATATTCTTTGCCAATTTGTGGGGCTCATCATGATACTCATTATTCACCCAGTAAAAACTCACCATTTTCTTATTCTTTACAAAGTAGAGCTTCTTAGTCACTTTTTTCATTGCTAGAACAAAACACCCAACGTTCGCGACATAAAGGAAGAGAACTTTATTCTAGTTCCTGGTTGAGAAGTGTTGCGGGCTCAAACACAGAAGCAGCATGCAGAAGGTCCTGGGTGGAGGAGCGCTGCTGACACCATGGAGTTCAGGAAGCTGAGAGCAGAGCTAGAGTCCAGGCCACGCCCCCAGCTCTTTCGTCCAGGCCCCTCCTCCCCACAGCAAATCAGCTATGAACTCATCAATGGACAGATCCACTGGTGAGGACCATACCTCATGCATGATCCAGCCACCTTCTTACACATGAGGCTTTGGGGAGACACCCTCTGAGTGTGATCATAGCCTTTGGTAACGCCACTGATTCTCTTCATAATAGAGGAAAATTTTTGCTCTGAAATTTTTTAATAATGAGAAATGTAAAAAAGAATTTTTTAAAAAGTAGGCATATCATGGCCAGCCAAATAGCTCAGTGGATTAAAGTGCCTGCAAGCAGGTACAGGGGCCCAAGGTTCAATCCTGGGCCTGCTGTGCCAGCCCCATCCCCAGAGCATGCTGAGATGGGGATTGAGACTGGGTGTGATGGTGGAATTACACTCCTGTAATCCCATCTCTTGGGAGGCTGTAAACAGGAGAATCACTACCAGTCTAATCTAGTAGTGAGACCCTGAACACCCTGTAGACCCTTCCCTAAAATACAGAAAAATAAATGATAGGCATATCATTTAATACCCAAAAACCAGATTAAGATGGACACTCAAGTGCTCAAATGAGAAAGGGAGAACTTCAAAAGTTTTAGAAAAAAATAGGGACACATAAATTAAAACGACAGAAAAATTTATAAGCCTGAAAAAAAAAACAAGTAAAAAAAGGGGGGGCCAGGGAGTTAACACAATAGAATAAGTGCTTGCTTGGCAAGTGCAAGGGCCTGAGTTCAATCCCCAGTTCCACAAAAAAAAAAAACAAAAAAAATTTACAAGCCTGATAGTAATAATTGGTGAGAATGGAAGGATAAGTTATAGTAGGGGCTGGTACAACCATGGTGGAAGATCCCGTTACCTAATGCACATTAAGGTACGCAGTCCCTGCAACTCACAATCCACCCGCCAGAGGTGTTTCTGCATATCTGTCCCCAACAGTGGTCGTGGGTACCTCATTCATACCTGGAAGGAAACAAACTGAAGACAACAGAAAAGGCCACCCACAGAATGGATACAATAAAGTATTTCCAGATAATGTGCTAGAAGCTGCTGAAGCTGTAAAGCAGTCAGGACTTCTCGTGAGTGCAAGACAAGGCCTCAGAGCCTAAAGTGCTCAA